GAGAACACTGACAGCATCCTCTTTTCACAGGCGACACACACCACATCACTGAGAAGGCAGACAAGGGATAGATGTCACGATGATTAGGCGCTGTGGCAGAGGCAGCAGCTCCAAGATGCAGAGCCTTCCCTCTGCCTGGACCTGCGCCTGAGTGGGTGCAGCAGAAGGGGAGGCGGGGAAAGGGCCTGACATGAAGACTGGGGCAGGGCGCGGCAACAGCACTGACGGAACCTGAGAACTCTCTTCAGAGACCATGTTCTTCTCCCCCACCGATGCTGCTCAAGCTTTTCTGAGCTCACCCTAATGTTGACCCGGGTGTGTGTTTGTGTGGGGTGCTTCAGAGGACCACTGCACTGACTGTGATCCAGGAAGCACACCTCACTTGTCTTATGAGGCCACACAGTGGCAACTTGACAGTCTCCTGGCTACAACTAGCCAGACTAGTCCTGAGAAGGCCTCTGCTGAGACAGGCCAGGAGAAGTGTGGGAACAATGAAGTGTGTCTCCACAGGGGAAGCCAGCTGTGTGCTCAGAAGGCCTTTCCAGCTGGGGTGGGAGAGGCATGTGCAGGGACAGCTTCAAAGGATCACGGCCCAGGAGCCCATGGGAGACACTGGATGACTAACATTGAATTAAGGTCTCCCCTCAAAGTGCAGGATTTCAAAAGGCCTGGGCTGGGGACTCAAGGGACAGTCAGAAATCTATCCTGACCTCCTTGGATTAAAATCTGGGGTTCAGAGAAAGAACCAGCCCAAGTCAGAGCCAGAAAGAGCTCAGCCTAGAACCCGAGACTTCAGAAATCTGGCCAGACAAGGGAATCAGAACACCTGGGTGGAAATCCTGGCTTGGGTGAGCCTCCAGGACCCAAGTTTCCCCACCTGTACCATGGGGATGACACCAACTTCACCAGGTGTTGCAGGGACTGAGATGGCAGATGCATACGCTCAGCCCAAAGAAGACCTTAGTGCAGGCCTTCATGGGAGCTAGCACGTGGGGGCAGTGCATCTCCTCAGACAGCAACAGCGCCACACAGCGCTGCACACAGTGCTTGCTTTACATGAAAAGCTGTGGCCAGGCGAAGACCCTCACCCTTACCAGCTACCAGCAGCAGTGAGGATCCGGCTGGTGAGCACTGTCTCCCACTCCTTCCCTTCCCGGTTACACTTCAAGCGGCTCAGCTTCACTCCTCCCACGGCTGTCACTTCATTCTCCACCTCAATGTACATGGAGGGGTCGGAGCTCACCTGAATGGAGGAAAGCAAACACAACGCTCTTTTCAGGCAATAGCGAGTCCACCAGATTGGGGTCATAGCACAGGGGAGGTGCTTAGAGGCCCGTAGCCGGGGCCTTTGAGGCAGGGGGAAGACACAAGAGATAGACAGAGCTGGCTGGTCAACAGAAGGGTAGTGGTGGGGGAAGTAATAGGATGGGGTCAGAAGGGCCAGATGTATGGCCCGTCAGGGCAGAAAGAATGCTGGGAGCGGGTTTGTGCTTGTCATCCATGTAACAGAATAGAGAACTGGTGTCAGAGCTAAAGTCCCAGAGGCTCCTAACCCCACAACCTCCTCTCACAAGGGTGCATGCAGAAAAGGCACGTGACTTGTCCACAAGCACACTGCAAGTGAGGACCACAGCCAGCTGGGGNAAAACCAGACCTCAGAGAGCTAATATGCTAGTGATGAAGGACTGAACTGGGATGTGGGGAGGGTAGAAATCCAGGGAGGGACACCTTTGCCTTGGCAGCATTTAGTGATGAAGAAGAGGCTGAGCAGAACTTCTATCAGACTGGAGGGGCTAGGGGGACCAAAGCAGGGCACAGGGTACATGAAAAGTGGGGTCCCTGGTAAAGCACTCCTCCTTTGTACTGGCACCCCTAACTGCACTCTAGAATAAGGGTAAACTGGTAGTAAACCAGTCCCTGCACTAACTAGTACCCAGCTTTGAGTCCCCAGGCAGCCCAGAAGACCTCAATCCCTGAACTAGGTTTAGGGGACCTTGCAGGCTGGGGCCAGGAGCTGGCAGCAGCAAATAAAACTGCTCTGTTTAAGAAGGTAACATCACTGAGGCCTCAAACCATGTCTACAAATAATTTTTCAAATACCAAGTCCAGCAGTCAAAAATAACCAGTAACATAAGGAGATAAGACAATATGAATGAGAACCAGTGAAACATTTCTGTGAAATAGAAACAGATCCATAAGTGCTCCTGATATTAGAACTATGTTCAAGCAGATAAAAGACTAAATTGACAATTTAAAACTATAAAAAATAATACAGCAGATTCCAAAA